TTTTCATTGGGGGGATGTTGCATCGTCTGCCAAGTCTTTTGCTTTCGTAGTGAGTGATTTTCGTGTGCAAGTTCGGTACTAGTCTCTCTAGGATTTTCCAGGTGTATATAATCATGTATCTCTCCCTCCTGCGTTCCAGGGAATACAGGTTCAGGAACCTCAAGCGCTCCCAGTAATTGAGGTGTTTTATCTCCATTATGCGCGCCGTGAAAGTTCTCTGTACATTTTCTAGGTCAGCAATTTCACCTGCCTTGAAAGGTGCTGTTAGTGTGCAGCAATATTCCAGCCTAGATAGAACAAGTGACCTGAAGAGTGTCATCATGGGCTTGGCATCCCTCGTTTTGAAGGTTCTCATTATCCAGCCTGTCATTTTTCTAGCAGATGCGATCGATACAATGTTATGGTCCTTGAAGGTGAGATCCTCCGACATGATCACTCCCAAGTCTTTGACGTTGGTGTTTCGCTCTATTTTGTGGCCAGAATTTGTTTTGTACTCTGATGAAGATTTAATTTCCTCGTGTTTACCATATCTGAGTAATTGAAATTTCTCATCGTTGAACTTCATATTGTTTTCTGCAGCCCACTGAAAGATTTGGTTGATGTCCGCCTGGAGCGTTGCAGTGTCTGCAATGGAAGACACTGTCATGCAGATTCGGGTGTCATCTGCAAAGGAAGACACGGTGCTGTGGCTGACATCCTTGTCTATGTCAGATATGAGGATGAGGAACAAGATGGGGGCGAGTACTGTGCCTTGTGGAACAGAGCTTTTCACCGTGCCTGCCTCGGACTTTACTCTGTTGACTACTACTCTCTGTGTTCTGTTAGTGAGGAAATTATAGATCCATCGACCGACTTTTCCTGTTATTCCTTTAGCACGCATTTTGTGCGCTATTATGCCATGGTCACACTTGTTGAAGGCTTTTGCAAAGTCTGTATATATTACATCTGCATTCTTTTTGTCTTCTAGTGCATCTAGGACCTTGTCGTAGTGATCCAATAGTTGAGACAGACAGGAGCGACCTGTTCTAAACCCATGTTGCCCTGGGTTGTGTAACTGATGGGTTTCTAGATGGGTGGTGATCTTGCTTCTTAGGACTCTTTCAAAGATTTTTATGATATGGGATGTTAGTGCTATTGGTCTGTAGTTCTAGAGATAGGCTGGAATATTGCTGCGCTCTAACAGCACCTTTCAAGGCAGGTGAAATTGCTGACCTAGAAAATGTACAGAGAACTTTCACGGCGCGCATAACGGAGATAAAACACCTCAATTACTGGGAGCGCTTGAGGTTTCTAAACCTGTATTCCCTGGAACGCAGGAGGGAGAGATACATGATTATATACACCTGGAAAATCCTAGAGGGACTAGTACCGAACTTGCACACGAAAATCACTCACTACGAAAGCAAAAGACTTGGCAGACGATGCACCATCCCCCCAATGAAAAGCAGGGGTGTCACTAGCACGTTAAGAGACCATACAATAAGTGTCAGGGGCCCGAGACTGTTCAACTGCCTCCCAGCACACATAAGGGGGATTACCAACAGACCCCTGGCAGTCTTCAAGCTGGCACTGGACAAGCACCTAAAGTCAGTTCCTGATCAGCCGGGCTGTGGCTCGTACGTTAGTTTGCGTGCAGCCAGCAGCAACAGCCTGGTTGATCAGGGGCTGATCCACCAGGAGGCCTGGTCACAGACCGGGCCGCGGGGGCGTTGACCCCCGAAACTCTCTCCAGGTAAACAGGTAAACACCTCTCAAATAGGAGGCGAAATTGTTGGATGTGCATTCCTGCATAACTTGAGATATCAGACGACTGGACAAGACAGCTCCAGGAACCTCAGATAAGATCTCTAGATTTATGTGTAATTCTGGCCAGCATTATTTTCATAGATTTAGTTAGAGTGAGGTTTTCTGAGTATGATACACATTAATCTCCAGTCAAATTGGTGAGTGATATTAAGATATATTTTCCTTCTGTTATGTAATTGTGCATATATATAACCATTTATTATTTTTAATATACAGTCCACAAATTTATATATTTACCAGTATTCCTGGTGTATGTATATTTCATTTAATTAATAGGTCCAGAGCAACTTGTGGTTATGACAGTGGTAGGTATCGAAGGGGGACATTTTTTGCGACCTAGGTGTCCCAAATTCCTACTTGTCTATGTAACCTGGAGTTTACCTGGATAAATAATAATTATCTTTGTTATCATTTACTGTTATGTACATAATTAGTTACATTCAGATAAATGCAATTTTCCACAATTAAGGAGGTAATGGGTCGTTGACAGGCCCCATATATATTCCAATTTTTTCACATAGCTTATCTACACTGTACAATATGGAGATATAGTGTCAAGTAAAAATCAAGTATCTAATTACCCTGATCATTATTTGGTTAAAATCTCATCAAATATCAGCTCATTCAGCTGACCGAAGTTCAGGCAATTGGTCCGTTTCACTTGATTGGAACTTCTTGTTCCCATTTATATTTTTGATGGGATTTTTTTCCTCTCTTTTTGTCAAGCAGCTACTGTATGACGTGTACTGGTTTAGCGCTGTTTTGTAGTATAATGAAAATTATAATAAAGAAACTCTGGATAATATTTTTTTTTTACTGACTGAGATGTATTTATTATTATTATTAAATATTCGCCGGTATTCTCCCGGCCCGGGCCTTTTCCAAGTGGTGGCCCGGCCTTGGCTCCCTCTTTAGGGAGTGTCTGAGACCTAAGTCTCCCATGGGAGGAGGCACAAGTACCTCCTCATCTTTGGGACCAACTGTCCCCAGGCCTAGCCACAAGCTAGGCCTCTCTGGTCTGCCATCCCCGCCCCAAGGGGGCTAATGGGAATGACAGTCTTATGAGCTAAAGGCTCGAACTCAGGCACCTACCCTACCCCTAGAAGGGTTAGGCATGGTGTCGATCGACTGAGATGTAAGGCCCAGTCCAGTATACACTAGCAGAGATCCTATATACCTTCAAGACAAAGAGAAACTATGTTAATTCAAACCTCAGCTTTGGTCTTAGTGGAGTGTGGGAGTAAATAGAAAACAGGATTTCAGAACTCACGGTAAAGTATATTTCTTTGCAAAGGTTACAATGTGTAGTTACAATTTTGATTTGCTAAGTACGTACAAAGATAGCCACTATCATGCGGAGGCATTTAGGGCAAACTAATCCTAATACATAGTAACGAATTAAAACTAGATAAGATAATACTACATAGTAACTGTACTTAAAACTAGACAAGGAATAGTGGATAGCTGTTTTACAATCTTATTTGTACTTAATATAATCTTATTTAAACTTAGTACAAAATCTACCTTACAAGTAATGGTGCAGGTGGTAATATTTTATGGAATGGCAGAATTAAAAGCCAGGAGGTCACATGATAAGACTAATTAGCAGATGTTTTGGCAGATTTGGTTAATATTGAGAAATAAGTCAGTGTGTCATCGGGGAAAAAAGGTTACCATCGTAGCCATAAATTTTAAAGGGGTGAACCGGTAAGCCAGCGGAAGGCCTCGGTCAGATGACCAAAAGCTCCAGCGGCGGGTCATCATATGACTAAAACCCGCGTCAGGAAACAATTGTTCTGTTTCCTAACAAATCTTACTTAACCGTCTTCGGGGACTCTTGTCTTATTTCGACTGGGAGGTCCTTCAGTCTTGTCCCCCAGGATACGTCCCACAACAGTCGACTAACACCAGTTAGTTTAATATGTTTATTATGCACCCCATACCCATCCTGTGGGCGGTAGTCAAAAGATTACAGAGGTACATAATGGGTCCAGGGACTGGACTCCAAAGTTTTGATAGCTGAGCAAGTTACAGAGGTAATGAATTCACAATTTACAAAGGTAATGAACTCACAAATTACAAAGGTAATGAACTCCGGGTAGGTCTAGTCACAATCATGACAAGTTACAAAGGTATTTACAGATTACAGAGGTACGTAATGGATCCAGGGACTGGGCCCCAAAGTTTGGATGGCTGAACTAGGTACAAGGTAATGAACTCACAAGTTACAAAGGTAATGAATACTGTAAGAATGGTTACTTACGTTTATACATGGCTACAATCATGAACAACTAACACCAGTTTGTTTAATATCTTTATTATGCACCCCGTTCCAGTCCTGTAGCGGTAGTCAAAACATTACAGAGGTACATAATGGGTCCAGGGACTGGACCCCAAAGTTTTGATAGATGAACAAGTTACAAAGGTAATGAACTCCAGGTATCTGGTCACAATCATGACATGTTACAAAGGTAATACCCCAGGTATTACTAGGGATGCCAAGCCCATGATGACACTCTTCAGGTCACTTGTTCTATCTAGGCTGGAATATTGCTGCACAATAACAGCACCTTTCAAGGCAGGTGAAATTGCTGAACTAGAAAATGTACAGAGAACCTTCACGGCGCGCATAATGGAGATAAAACACCTCAATTACCGGGAGCGCTTGAGGTTCCTGAACCTGTATTCCCTGGAACGCAGGCGGGAGAGATACATGATTATATACACCTGGAAAATCCTAGAGGGACTAGTACCGAACTTGCACACGAAAATCACTCACTACGAAAGCAAGACTCAGCAGACGATGCAACATCCCCCCAGTGAAAAGCAGGGGTGTCACTAGCACGTTAAGAGACAATACAATAAGTGTCAGGGGCCCGAGACTGTTCAACTGTCTGCCAGCATACATAAGGGGGATTACTAATAGACCCCTGGCAGTCTTTAAGCAGGCACTGGACAAGCACCTAAAGTCGGTACCTGACCAGCCGGGCTGTGGCTCGTACGTTGGATTGCGTGCAGCCAACAGTAACAGCCTGGTTGATCAGGCTCTGATCCACCATGAGGCCTGGTCACAGACCGGGCCGCGGGGGCGTTGACCCCCGGAACTCTCTCCAGGTAAACTCCAGGACTACACTGGAAACAGGCCACTCTGATGACAGAGGTTTAGTGGGCTTTCCAAGGTTACTAATTCTCCGGCTTAATAAGCAGAATAAAATTTCGTAAAAGCAGGGTTCAATACCACCTCAGCTGTGGTGACCCTTAAAACCTGAACAACAACATTAACTCTTGGTTGGTGTAAATATTTTAACGCGATCTCTGGTGCAGCAGTGGAAATAAGACGTATTGTTTGACCTAATTGAGTTATCCAAGGTTAAATACACATAATTTAATACATATGTATACTCGTAACATGTATGTGTCCTCAGAAGCATTAGGCAAATTTATACATCCCGGTACTGTTTGTAGGACCCCAGTGGAAATAAGTCACTCTGTCTGACTTTTTTGGTTATCCTAGGTTCTCTACACATATGCTGGTATGATAATCTATGTAACTATATTTGTGTATACCTGAATAAACTTACTGTAATAATGTTGGTAGAATTACCGACAATATGTAAAGTAAAAGGACACAAGTGCAACTAATGTGACATTTTATTGTGGCAACGTTTCGCTCTCCAGGAGCTTTGTCAAGCCGTTACAAACAGTACATGGACACAGAGGGTATATATAGGCTCAGAGTGAGGTGCAATACTAGTGGTAGTAGTAGTAGTGACAAACTTTTGTCACTACTACTACTACCACTAGTATTGCACCTCACTCTGAGCCTATATATACCCTCTGTGTCCATATACTGTTTGTATAGGCTTGACAAAGCTCCTGGAGAGCGAAACGTTGCCACAATAAAATGTCACATTAGTTGCACTTGTGTCCTTTTACTTTACTTACTCTTCAAGGGAGGTGCTGTGATGTAAGTGAAAGGCTCTTGGTCTGGGGAGTTGGAGCTACCTTGCACTTCCTTGGATCAAATCTGATTGCTGTATGACAGTCATGTGGCTTCAAACAGAGAAGCCAGGGTTTTTAAAGCTAATTTTCAAGAGTAAAACTTCATATATTGTTTGAGAAACAAGTAATTGGTGAACTATTACTGAACTAACGTTATCATGAGAAAGGGCTAAATCCGCAGGGATAGGAAGTACAGATTTAGCACTCTTTCGTAAATAATAATAATAAATATAAAACTATCAAACCATTCTTAGACTTCTAAATATAGACTACCTGCTTTGAATGCCATTCCAGCACTCAGTGGATAAGTCACTCTGACTTTTTCTGTTATGCTAGGTAATTTACACTATGTATGATAATAGAACTTTTTTATGTGTACCTGTACCTAAATAAGCTTACTGAATGCTAGTTTTTTTCAGGGGGGGGGGAATTGAAGGGATTTTAATAGACATAAAGTGCTACAGAAATATATTTCTAACCAAGGTACAGTAGACTGGTAGATAGCAACCATCCAGGGAGATGCTACCATCATGTCATACAAATATGAAACCTAAGTGTGTCAAATGTTTTGCATTCTGGAGGGACTGCTAGTCTTACCTTTATATCTCAGGTCTCATAAATGTGCACATGGCATATTAGTCTAATATTTATTATACACTTATCACTTTCCAGTATGTTTCATAATGGTTATTACTTGTGTAATACAGCATATCCTCTCTAGTTTTGGAAGTCAGGTTTAAGATTAGACTGCAAGGGTAATAACACCTGGAAAAATAAACATATGAAAACATATAGCCAATACTCTCATAAAATACTGCATCTGAGAATATAGTTCGCAAGTAAATATACTTCAACATGGAGTATTGGACATATCAAGGACTTGTTTTTTACACGCAGATACTTTATTTATTAGTACTTTAAGCATAAAGAATAAAAAACTGAAGTAAAGTGCTTTAAAAAAAAAGTACAGGTGTTGATATTTTCTTCAGATAAATTGCCTTAACTAGAAGAGGAGACAGTTTGAGATTCACTTATAAGAGCATGATTATTGGATTGAAATATTATCCCAAATTGATGTGGATCACCCCATTAATCAAGTGTGTCACTGGTAAGTTGATGACAGTTTATGAATATAAGTAGCTTTGACTAGAGTAATTTCAGAACCTGTAGATAAATATAGTATGGCAGTACTGGTAGACTTTTTTTTGGTAAACAGTATTGTATGATGCTCTAGACTATTGCAGTTTTCAGTTTAATTTGCATTTTTAAATACAGGAGTAACAAATTTATAAAATTGGGAAGGAAATAAAACTACAATATTTTCAGTTACAGAGAGAGGCCAGTCAGCTACTGGTGGAAAAAACAAAAAGCATTATCTTTTCCAGTAAATTTTACACATAAAGTAGCTAAATAAATCAAATAAAATTTTGGCTACCTTCCAATAATGGCTGTAATTTGGTTTTGCAGTAATTATAATTGTACTGTACTTTGCAGTGCCAGTTGATGATTTGCTAAATTTTCTTCACCTGTGAATTGCCTTTTAGGAAATACTGTGCTGTTTTTCTACAACGGTGCCCCGTGGCCTGGTGGCTAAAGCCCTTGCTTCACACAGCGAGGGTCTGGGTTCAATTCCCAGCGAGGGTAGCAACATTGGGTGTGTTTCTTTACACCAGTTGCCTATGTTCAGCCATCAGTAAAATGGGTACCTGGGAGTTAGTCAACTGGTGTGGGTCTCATCCTGGGACAAAACCGACCTAATTTGCCCAAAATGCTCTGCATAACAAGCGGCTTATTGTATAGTAGTATGTCATTGATGTCAGCTAGGACTGTATACCATGTACATGTACTTGTAGTAAATAAAGATTGTTTTATATGAGGTCACCTGCTGTTTATTATTTACCATATGTATAGGCTTACTATACATCCTGTTTTGAAAGTCCTGGTCAATGTGTCGTTTTGTCTTAGACACAAACATCGCTGATGAGCAGTGTATGGTCTCAGGAATGAGATAGAATGATTGAATCTACAGTAAAAGGGCTAATGTACTACAAAATAAACATTGCATTAAGTTGCAGCCAGTTTTATGGGAAAATGAAAATAAGCCATGACTATGAAAGGTTCATTCTAGTGATAAATACTAATGGTTCTCCAGAGAGTGGTTCCATACTTTATGCTATTTGTTTGTTTTCATTCTGTAGTCCTTTATATTTTATGCACATATACATATATTATTTACCTAAGTAGTAGGTTGGTAGACAACAACCACCCAGGGAGGTACTACTGTCCTGCTAAGTGAGTGTGAAATGGAAACCTGTAAGTGTTTCACATGATGGTAGGATTGATGGTGTCTTTTTTCTGTCTCATAAACATGCAAGTTTTCAGGTACACCTTGCTACTTCTACTTACACTTAAGTCACACTACACATACAGTGGACCCTCATTTTTTTGTAATTAATCCATTCCAGAGAGTGTGACTAACAGCGAAATTGACGATTTGCAAAAAAATTTTCCCCAAGGCAGGTGAAATTGCTGACCTAGAAAATGTACAGAGAACCTTCACAGCACGCATAACTGAAATAAAACACCTCGATTACTGGGAACACTTGAAGTTCCTAAACCTGTACTCCCTAGAATGCAGGTGGGAGAGATACATGATTATATACACTTGGAAAATCCTAGAGGGATTAGTACCAAACGTGCACACAAAAATCACTCCCTACGAAAGCAAAAGACTCGGCAGACGATGCAGCATCCCCCCCAATGAAAAGCAGGGGTGCCACTAGCATGTTAAGACAACACAGTAAGCGTTAGGGCCCAAGATTGTTCAACTGCCTCCCAGCATACATAAGGGGGATTACCGATAGACCCCTGGCTGTCTTCAAGAAGGCACTGGACAAGCACCTAAAGTCAGTACCTGACCAGCTGGGCTGTGGTTCGTACGTTGGACTGCATGCAGCCAGCAGTAACAGCCTGGTTGATCAGGCCCTGATCCACCATGTGGCCTGGTCACAGACCGGACCGCGGGGGCGTTGACCCCTGGAACTCTCTCCAGGTAAACTCCAGGTATAAGAAATAATGTAAATCCAATTAATCTGTTCCAGACACCCAAAAGTATTAAAACAAAATAATTTTTTTGCATGATGTAGATGTACATACACACAAAACAATGAGACATGAAGAATAAAACAATAATAACATGACACTTACCTTTACTGAAGATTCTTCTTCATGTATGGAAGACAGGAGGAAGGGAGAGGTTGGAGAAATTATTGTTCGGAAGGGGACTCCCCTTCCATAAAGACTTCAGGTACCAAGTCCTTTTCTGGGGTTACTTCCCTTCTTTGTTTTTTAACCCTTAAATGGTCCAAACGTATATATACGTTCACTCGCGCAGCGCCCCGAATATTTTGAAAAAAAAAAAAATTATATAGAAAAAAGAACACGTTTTTTGACATATTTTAGAATAAAAAAAAAAATTAGGGTCAGTACTTACCAATATATGAGGCCGAGAAGCTGGCACTGGATGCTCATGTGACAGCAACATGGAGTCCTGCCACTTGCAGAAGTGTTGCCCATATACCTTTTTTTCTATTTTTCATATTTTATGTAATTTTTATGTTCTGATAATTACAATTTGTAGTAGTTCTTGTCATTTTATAACCAATCTTTGTTCTGACACTAGTATTAGGTACTGAAATTGTACTCAAATTGTCACAAACACACTGACAGGTGGACATTTACACCTGCCTTAGCCATTTACTATTGTCTTGGAATAATATACAAAGTATTTATATGTCCCAGCAATGTTTTGGATATGTGAAAGTATATAATAACAATGAGGAGGAGGAGAAGGAGGAAAAGGAGGAGGAGGAGAAGGAAAAGGAGAAGGAGGAGGAGAAGGAGGAAAAGGAGGAGGAGGAGAAGGAAAAGGAGGAGGAGGAGAAGGAAAAGGAGGAGGAAGAGGAGAAGGAGGACGAGGAGGAGATGGAGGAGGAGGAGAAGGAGGAGGAAGAGGAGGAGGAGGAGGAGAAGAAGGAGGAGAAGAATAATATGTAATAATAATAATAGGTAATAATAAGTTCCCTTGAAGCATAAAAAACAAAGTCCACCCCTGACAGTGACATGATAAGATGAGATAACAACTGATAAGAGCTGATGTTTGTTGAGCATACACAAAGGTGGGGGAGGGTGCAGCTGATAAAAAAAGATTAGAGGTGATATTTGATGAGCATCACCCTCACTTTGTTTTCACTGGTACACAAACATGTCTGTCTGTCTATTTGTCTGTGTCAAGCTCCCTGTCTATCTGTCTATCTGTCTAGCTTTCTGTCTCAGAGAGAGCCACAAGACTGCATTGTCATCATGTTTACTCACATCTTCAAGCAGAGTACATAGCACTTTGTCTGGATTTTTTGGGTTATCCTAGGTAATTTACACTATGTATACTTGTATTTATGTGTACCTGTGAGACAAAAATAGACAGACAGATTGAAAGAGATACAGAGACAGATAGACAAAGACAGATAGACAGAGACAGATGCAGATAGACAGAGACAGAGGTAGACAGAGACAGAGATAGAAGAAGACTGAGATAGAGAGACAGAGATAGACAGACAGACAGACCCTAAACTTGGGGTAAACATCACTTTCCTCTTAAAAGAGGAGTGTTAATATGACATTACATCAGTGAATCCTTGGTGTTTGCCGCACTGTTTGCTCTAGCTGGCGCTCAGTTTAACTGGCGCTCCCACAAGGTACTAAGTGGCCCCAGATTTTTTTAATACCTTGCACACTGAGTGTTAGGACCCATTCTATGCTGACAAGGCATTTTAGGCAAATCGTGCCAAATTTGAAGGCAGGAAAAATAAAACGTATACATATATATGTTTGGGGCACTACACGTAAGAACGAACCGTTTAAGGGTTAATGCCACTAGGACCAGCTTGAGAGTCACTGCACACCTGTAACACTAAATATTGTCCAGAGAGCTCTGTTTCTGGCATCTGTTTAAAATTTTCCAAAAATGGACAAGACATTGTCATTGTATAGGAATCAGGAATCGCTGGAAGAACTAAAACCATAAATGAAATCGAAAGAAACCCAAAGTATTTCTTTTCCTATGCCAAATCAAAGCCGAGAACAACGTCCAGTATTGGGCCCCTACACAGTATTGGGTCCTACACAGATGACAGCAAGGAAATGAGTGAGCTACTCAAGTCCCAATATGACTCAGTTTTTAGCAAGTCGCTAACCAGACTGAGAGTCGAAGATCAAAATTAATTTTTTTATGAGAGAGCCACAGAATTTGGTTAACACAAGCCTATCTGATGTTATCCTGACGCCAAATGACTTCGAACAGGCGATAAATGACATGCCCATGCACTCGGCCCCAGGGCCAGACTCATGGAACTCCGTGTTCATCAAGAACTGCAAGAAACCCCTATCACGAGCCTTTTCCATCCTATGGAGAGGGAGCATGGACACAGGGGTCGTCCCACAGTTACTAAAAACAACAGACATAGCCCCACTCCACAAAGGGGGCAGTAAAGCAACAGCAAAGAACTACAGACCGATAGCACTAACATCCCATATCATAAAAATCTTTGAAAGGGTCCTAAGAAGCAAAATCGCCTCCCATCTAGAAACCCATCAGTTACACAACCCAGGGCAACATGGGTTTAGAGCAGGTCGCTCCTGTCTGTCTCAACTATTGGATCACTACGACAAGGTCCTAGATGCACTAGAAGACAAAAAGAATGCAGATGTAATATATACAGACTTTGCAAAAGCCTTCGACAAGTGTGACCATGGCGTAATAGCACACAAAATGCGTTCTAAAGGAATAACAGCAAAAGTCGGTCGATGGATCTATAATTTCCTCACCAACAGAACACAGAGAGTAGTCGTCAACAGAGTAAAGTCCGAGGCAGCTACGGTGAAAAGCTCTGTTCCACAAGGCACAGTATTCGCTCCCATCTTGTTCCTCATCCTCATATCCGACATAGACAAGAATGTCAGCCACAGCACCGTGTCTTCCTTTGCAGATGACACCCGAATCTGCATGACAGTGTCTTCCATTGCAGACACTGCAAGGCTCCAGGCGGACATCAACCAAATCTTTCAGTGGGCTGCAGAAAACAATATGAAGTTCAACGGTGAGAAATTTCAATTACTCCGATATGGTAAACACGAGGAAATTAAATCTTCATCAGAGTACAAAACAAATTCTGGCCACAAAATAGAGTGAAACACCAACGTCAAAGACCTGGGAGTGATCATGTCGGAGGATCTCAACTTCAAGGACCATAACATTGTATCAATCGCATCTGCTAGAAAAATGACAGGATGGATAATGAGAACCTTCAAAACTAGGGAGGCCAAGCCCATGATGACACTCTTCAGGTCACTTGTTCTATCTAGGCTGGAATATTGCTGCACACTAACAGCACCTTTCAAGGCAGGTGAAATTGCTGACCTAGAAAATGTACAGAGAACCTTCACGGCGTGCATAACGGAGATAAAACACCTCAATTACTGGGAGAGCTTGAGGTTCCTAAACCTGTATTCCCTGGAATGCAGGCGGGAGAGATACATGATTATATATACCTGGAAAATCCTAGAGGGACTAGTACCGAACTTGCAAATGAAAATCACTCACTACGAAAGCAAAAGACTTGGCAGACGATGCAACATCCCCCCAATGAAAAGCAGGGGTGTCACTAGCACGTTAAGAGACCATACAATAAGTGTCAGGGGCCCGAGACTGTTCAACTGCCTCCCAGCATACATAAGGGGGATTACCAACAGACCCCGGCAGTCTTCAAGCTGGCACTGGACAAGCACCTAAAGTCGGTTCCTGACCAGCCGGGCTGTGGCTCGTACGTTGGTTTGCGTGCAGCCAGCAGTAACAGCCTGGTTGATCAGGCTCTGACCAAATTGTTGCCAACACGGCTTGCAACAGCTTTGTTAGGGTGATGTTCCTCCACAAATCTTTCCATCCTACTCCACACTGCACAAATCTCCATCACTACCACCCTCTACCACCATCAAAACCACTACCACCCTCAACCACCATCACTACCACCCTCTACCACCATCACAACCACTACCACCCTCACCCACCATCACTAACACCTACCACCATCACAACTACTACCACCCTCTACCACCATCACTACCACCCTCTACCCCCATCACTACCACCCTCTACCATCACAACCACTACCACCTTTTATGTAACACCATCACTGCCACCCTCTACCACCATCACTACTACCCTCTACCACCATTACTTCCACCACCACTTTTATATTTTTCTACAATCTTTTTCTTTAATTCTATCGTGTTTGTCACCTTCTTTACCAAAGGGCTGGCACTAGCTTTCTTTGGCTCCATGGTGGCTTATTTAGCAGTTGCAAGCACTGAAAAGAATGGAATATTACAAAATGTATGAATGCGTGGGATCGTGCTCACTTGCTGATGAACAATGGCACACTGTGAATGGTGTGTTGAGTCACTCGGGCCACTTGTATGTGTTTGGGGCGAACGACTATTTGTGAGTCAAACGACAATTCGCGAATCAATACTTTGACGAAAAAACGCTACAATTTACTAAAATTATGAATTCCGATGCTTACGAAAAACGAGTCTCTACTGTACATGTACAAGCATATATCTACACACCCCTCTGGGTTTTCTTCTGTTTTCTTACTAGTTCTTGTTTTTGTTTATTTCCTGTTATCTCCATGGGGAAGTGGAACAGAATTCTTCCTCTGTAAGCCATGCGTGTCATAAGAGGCAACTAAAATTCCGGGAGCAAGGGGCAAATAACCCCTTCTCCTGTATACATTACTAAATTTAAAAAAGAGAAACTTTTGTTTTTCTTTTTAGGTCACCCTTCCTTGGTGGGTTATGGCCAGTTTGTTGAAAAAAAAAAATGTTATTTAATGAAAATCTTAATGTCCTGGTTTGAATCAGAGAAATTATGGTAAGCCTATATACATGGAGTGGGTTTGTGTCAACTATCTTTGATATTGTTTTAAACAAGTACATGTTAAGTTTTTCTTGCCTGTGAGGATTCACTTCATATTAGTAATACTATTTTATCATCCAAATATTGTTGTTAACTGTGGTTATAGAAATGTTTACCCAGCTGAATTTTCAGGAAGAAATTTATTTCTGTTTAGGTGCATTGGCTCCTTTGTCTCGTGGAATGACCTCTTCGGCCTCTGATGATGGTGGTGCCAGTAGCAGAAGTTCGCCCAAAAAGGCTAAAACTCCTATAGGTTTGTGTTTTTAAACATAATAGTGTTTGCATAATTTGTGCAAAATATCCTCTTGCTGTGGGTTAATAGTTACATTCTTATGCAGATTTTGGCCTATCATTCTCAAAGCACACCACTGTCTATTTTTATTATTCATTTGCATTCATCCTAACATATTTCACTGGCATAGTTTCTGGTAGTAACCCTTTTAACTTTGCTAAACCCATTTATGTTCCAGTATTGGCATATATTTTGCTTATACAATATAGTATATATATAGCTGTACTCAACAGATGGATATAATTTAGTTTCTAACAAATATATAAGGATTACAGCAAATTATGGAATAGTGGTGAACAGTCACAGACAACCTATTTTGTGCAAATATTTTTTTTTATATTGCTCTGAAGAGAAATACAGTACAGTGGACCCTCCCTTTTTGTTGGGCTCTGTTTTCTCTCGTGTCAGTTATCACTGAATTTTTCTGTACAATTATTGGCTCAGTTTTCGTTGCTTTCCTCCGTTCTCGTCGGTGGTACAGTACATGTCTGAGTGTGCAGCGCACACAACCTCCCCCACACACATTCTGAGGAGGCAGTGTCGCTTTGTTTATGGGTGAGTAAACATTACCCTGTGAGCTCATAGGAATTATTTAATAATAATTCATTGTTTCTTGCACTTGTTTATTCTGTGTGACTGCTAAATAAGCCACCATGGGCCCAACCAAAGCTGCTAGTGCCAGTCCTTTGGTAAAGAAGGTGAGAAACAGGATAGAATTAAAGAAAAAGTTTGTAGAAAAATACAAAAGTGGTGGTGGTAGAGGGTGGTAGTGGTTGTGATGGTGGTAGAGGGTGGTAGTGGTTGTGATGGTGGAAGAGAGTGGTAGTGGTTGTGACAGTGGTAGAGGGTGGTAGTGATAGTAGAGGGTGGTAGTGATGGTAGAGGGTTGTAGTGATGGTAGAGGGTGGTAGTGATGGTAGAGGGTGGTTTAGTGATGGTGGTAGAGGGTGGTAGTGATGGTGGTAGTCATGGTGGTAGAGGGTGGTAGTGGTTGCAATGGTGGTTAGAGGGTGGTAGTGGTTGTGATGGTGGTAGAGGGTGGTAGTGGTTTTGATGATGGTAGAGAGTGGTAGTGATGGTGGTAGAGGGTGGTAGCAGTTGTGATGGTGGTAGAGGGTGGTAGTGATGGTGGTAGAGGGTGGAAGTGGTTGTGATGGTGGTAGAGGGTGGTAGTGATTGTGATAGAGGGTAGAGCTGCAAGAGCTCTCATTATGGAAGGATTCCCCGTTATGGAAGGGGATTCCCCTTCCGAACAATAGTGTAACCTCTCCATCCTCTCCCCTCCTCCTGTCTTCCATACACCAACAAGAGTCTTCAATAAAGGTAAGTGTATGACATGTTATTAATGTTTTATACTTGATTTCTCATTCTTTTCTGTATGTAAATCTATATTTAATGTATAAAAAAATTATTTTTTGTTAATACTTTTGGGTGGCTAGAATGAATTAATTGGATTTACTATGCTGGGCAGCCAACAGCACCAGCATAGTTAGACAGGCAATTAAAGGAAATACTTAGCCCCTGGCCAGGGGTAGAAAACTCTTGAAACATAGCTTTTTCATTCAATTGTTGAATAGGGCTTACTTCTATTATTACTCTTTTGGCATTGCAGCTCAATTCACCTCAATTCAACCACTTCATAATATGCAGGTTATTGAATTAATTTAATTTCTAATTAATTTACAGCGGAACCTCGGTTTTCGTCATTAATTCGTTCCAGAAAGTCTGACGAAAACTGAATTCGACGAGAACTGAAGCAATATTTCCCATGAGAAATAACGTAAATCCAATTAATCCATTCCAGACACCCAAAAGTATTAACAAAAAATACATTTTATAGAGAATAACTATAGTTTTACATACAGAAAACATTGAGAAATAAATATAAAGGACTAATGAAATGGATAAATGAACATTTAACTTCACTTTTACCTTTATCGAAGACTCTTGTTGGTGTATGGAAGATGACGAGGAAAGGAGAGGGAGGAGAGGTTATCTCTACCACCATCAACACCACCCTCTACCAGCATCACAACCACTACCACCCTCTACCACCATTACTACCACCCTCTACCACCATCACTACCATCCTCTACTACCATCACTACCACCATCACTGCCACCATCACTACCACCCTCTACCACCATCACTACCATCCTCTACCACCCTCTACCACCATCACTACCACCCTCTACCACCATCACTACCACCCTCTACCACCATCACTACCACTCTCTACCACCATCACTACCACCCTCTACCACCACCACTACCACCCTCTCCCACCATCACTACCACCCTCTCCCACCATCACTACCACCATCACTGCCACCCTCTACCACAATCACTACCACCCTCTACCACCATCAGAACCACTACCACCCTCTACCACCATTGCTACCACCCTCTACCACCATCACTGCCACCCTCTACTACCATCACTCCCACCCTCTACCACCATCACTACCACCCTCCACCACCATCACTACCACCCTCTACCACCACCACTACCACCCTCTACCACCACCACTACCACCCTCCCCCACCATCACTACCACCCTCTCCCACCATCATTACCACCCTCTCCCACCATCACTACCACCCTCTACCACCACCACTACCACCCTCTCCCACCATCACTACCACCTCTCCCACCATCACTACCACCATCACTGCCACCCTCTACCACAATCACTACCACCCTCTACCACCATCAGAACCACTACCACCCTCTACCACCATTGCTACCACCCTCTACCACCATCACTGCCACCCTCTACTACCATCACTCCCACCCTCTACCACCATCACTACCACCCTCCACCACCATCACTACCACCCTCTACCACCACCACTACCACCCTCCCCCACCATCACTACCACCCTCTCCCACCATCATTACCACCCTCTCCCACCATCACTACCACCCTCTACCACAATCACTACCACCCTCTACCACAATCACTACCACCCTCTACCACCATCAGAACCACTACCACCCTGTACCACCATTGCTACCACCCTCTACCACCATCACTGCCACCCTCTACTACCATCACTCCCACCCTCTACAACCATCACTACCACCCTCTACCACCATCACTACCACAATCACTACCACCCTCTACCATCATCACTACTACCCTCTACCATCATCACTACTACCCTCTACCACCATTACTACCATACTCTACCACCATCACTACCACCCTCTACCACCATCACTACCACCCTCTACCACCATCACTGCCACCTTCTACCCCAGTCACAACCACCCTCTACCTTTGTAGAGGGTGGTAGTGATATTTCTCCACAAAACTTTGCAACTCATTCTACGAGTTCTTTCTTGAATTCTATCGTGTTTCTCGCCTTCTTTATCAAAGGGCTGGCACTCTGAACTTTCTTTAGCCCCATGGTGGCTTATTTAACAGCCGTGCTCAATAAACATGCACAAAAAACAATTGATTATTACAAAATGTTTCAGATGAACATGCAGGGTAGTGCTCAATCGACGAGAAACAAAGCCAGACTGACTCAAAACATGTGGGATGCTTTGTGTGGGCGCGGACAGGCGGACACATTTAGTACGGCGGACCACTGTCAACTCAATGAAAACTGAGGTGATGAACAAAAAGTGGGACAAAATTTTGACGAAAAAGTCGTTGAAAGCTGATTTCAACGAAAACTAGGGCAAATGAAAACCGAGGTTCCACTGTACGTATTGGAATTGATCAGTTCACTTGCTACCTGTTCAGTTGTACCTATGATTGTAATACATTACCCATGCAATAAGAATTTAACTTCTGTTCTAGGTCTAGAATTAAATATTAAGATACATGTAGTAAGCTTTATGATTGGTTTGCCCAAAATGCATATACACAATTAGTAGCTTTCTTAAGAACTTTATACATGTTACATCAAATTTCATCTGTATTATTTTATGATGAAACACAATATGTAATCATTTTGTATGTATGAATACTGTACTTGTATGGCTTGTTTGATATAAATAATTTTAATTTAATTTTAATTTTATTTTATTAAACTATTATAACCAAGTGTAACTTGCAAAAAATAATTATATATACAATGCAGATTATAATGTATTGTTTGAAAGAAACAATTGATCTTTAATTGGAGAGCATAGGCTTGGGGCAAAATACCAGTCATTTATATATGTACTGAACATTACACAGTTTACTAAGGGAATTATAGTGTTCCAAGGTTGCTTAATATCAATAAAACTAAATAATTATAACTTTACTAGAATTTTCCTTGTTTTTCTGTCTTCGTATTGGAAGGCAAACTAGATGGCCAAGAAATAGAGGAGGGTCATCACCCATACCAAGAAAAGGAGCCATTACTACCATTCCCGAATAATATTAATCCAACTACTGGTGAGGTCGGAGGGCCAAAAGGACCAGAGCCAACACGTTATGGAGACTGGGAGCGCAAAGGCCGTGTATCAGACTTCTAAATATTTTAACAGAGCACAATGATGCAGTGTGGCTAGTGACACATTTAAACATGTGATGAATAGTACCCATTGACTGTTTGATCATATACCTCATGAATTACTACTGTCTGCTATTCCTTGTTCACTAGTACTTCATTTAAATGTTATTTTGTTAAATTTGAATAACATAAATACAAGACACATTGACTTACTCACATACTAGCATAATACTTTATTTACGGTTTAGTTGGTTCCTAATTTTCAGTGTTCCCACTCTTAACCCTTTGACTGTCGCGGCTGCATATATACGTCTTACGAGGTATCGTGTTTGACATATATATATTCATAAATTCTAGCGGCTTCAAATCAAGCAGGAGAAAGCTGGTAGGCCCACATGTGAGAGAATGGGTCTGTGTGGTCAGTGTGCATCATATAAAAAAAATCCTGCAGCACGCAGTGCATAATGAGAAGAAAAAAAACTCAGGCCGTTTTTTTAATTAAAAT